CGCTGCGGGCGCTGAAGTCCGTGTGGGAGCCCCGTCCAGAGCCCCTCCCGGCGGTGAGTGCGCGTCCCGGCGGCTGCGCAGTGGAGGCGCCGCGTTCCTTTGGGGGAAACTGAGGCCCGGCCCGCGGTCTGTCCGCCTGTGGCTGTGGGCCCGGCCGCCGCGTGGTTTTCCCGCCGAAAACCGTCCTCGGGGCCGCCGGTGCCCCCGCGGGGCTGGAGGTCTGGTCAGTGGTTCCCGCCCTTTGCCCTCCCCCGCCCGGCGCTTCCCGCCCAAAGAGCCCGGATGGCCCGGCCTGGGGGTCTGCGCCCGCCTTCCCAGGCCCCCCATTAATCAGGTCTGAGTGCCAGGGGGGCCAGTGCCAGGGGGTGGGCTCGGGGAGAACGCGCTGTCCCCGGAAGAGGGACCTGCCCCAGGGAGGGCTTTGTGGGGCGGTGCCTGCGGGGCGGGGGCCGGGCTGGGGGGCAGGAGAGGGAGGGAGAGACAGACCCGGGGGAGGAGGGGGGTGGAGAGGGGTCCAGGCAGCAGCGGGGACACGGGCGCGGGGAGGGAAAGAGAGGGGGACACAGGAAAACTCCAATCAGCTTTGTTCAGTGGTTGAAGGTGATCCTATGAACCAGGAGGTAACGGTTCAATTCCTGGTCTTATTTTTCGGCTTAGTCCCCACTAGGAAGCTTGCAGGAGGCAGCCAATCAATGACAATATCCCATCATTGATGTTTCTATCTCTCCCTCTCCCACTCTGAAATCAATAAAAGTACATATTAAAACAAAAAATAAAAAACATAGGAAAAGACAACACTGGAGAGAAAGGGAACGGTAAGACGGAAACAGATCCATAGACAGAAATACATAGTAATGGAAAGGAGGAGAACACTGATTTGTGAGTCGTAAGTTGATGGGATGTGTTGGATTAAGTTGTGATGAATTGGTTTGTGGCTTTATATCTTCAATTTAACATCTGAATTATTTAACCTGAGAAGTCACTACGTTAAAAGTAAAAAAACACACACAACCTAGTCGTTTTTAGTTTTAAATATATTGTTTGTAGTTCAGATTCTGAGCCCTGCATTTTTTCTACTGTTTATCATATGTGGAAACATTCATTGGAGGTGAGCTCAGTGTGCACTTTGTAAAGATATCGGTGATCATCATAGTCGGAAGCTAATTCTGTGAGTTGGAAGAGTTCAGCACCTCTTCCTTCCCCTCATGTGATTTGTTCTGTTACTGACTGTGAGCCTCAAAAGGAGCTGTTCCCCTCAAGTCCCTCATGTCCATTCTCTGGAAATACTGAAGGATAGACTGAATTAACCTAGAACTTTATCCCCACAGAGCCCATCTATTCATGGTGAAGTCACTTGGTCAGTATAATTCAATAGGTAACTTCTCCCAAAGACTTAAAGATGAAGATCTGTTTTCTTTTTTAAAATATATTTCATTGATTTTTTTACAGAGAGGAAGGGAGAGGGATAGAGAGCTAGAAACACGGATAAGAGAGAAACATCCACCAGCTGACCAGCTGCCTTTCACACACCCCCTACCGGGGATGTGCCCGCAAGAAATGTGCATGTCCTTAACCGGAATAGAACCTGGGATCCTTCAGTCCTCAGGCCGACGCTCTATCCCCTGAGCCAAACCAGTTAGGACATGAAGATCTATTTTCCATAATTTCTTGAAAACAGAGAATGGAAAGTTACCTGGGAATCCTATACAAGTTCCTCCTTCAACCCCTCCAACTGCCAAGAGGTCTCAGGTGTGCTGGGTCTGATGTCTGGACCCAGCACTACTAAAACTGCTCTGGGGGAGCCTCTCAGGACCCAGGAGGAAACTCCTTAAAGATAGCATGTCTTGGACCTCAGGGTAGGCTTTTTTAGGGGAAGTAAAGGATGCTCTGTTGCGTTTGGGGGTTCAGCAGAGGAGTACATGTTCTCATTGCTGTAGGAGTTTGTGGAAGTCTTTAGAAGGACAAACACATGAAGACAGAACAAAATCCCTGACAGTTTGGTCTCCATGGAAGAGCTTATTGTTCTTGACTCTCCTGTGACAAAGGACAAGAGTTTGGTCTTTCCCTCATTTCCAGGTCCTTCTGACTGTGAGTGTCCTGTGAGCGGATTAGTGGGCTGTGTGGACTATTTTGAAGGCATATTCTGTGACTCTTCAACATATTGTCACCTGAGAAAACAACCCAGACCCTGATCAGGACGAGGACCAAATGGCTGCTTTCCAGGTAGAAGATGTGCCCTGTGTCAGAGGCTGTTTGCGTTTTCTTGAACATCTGTTGATAGGTTTCTCTTTCCCTTCCCACACCTATGTCCCTTCTGATGCCCATTACACTCTGTCTTGTTACACACAGCTGGCTGACTCAGTGCTGCTTCTCTCTGCTCCATTATCCTAAACGCCCGTTTCTGTAGCTCCATTCGCACCCCCAGATCTTCTCCTCTGCACTATCTTTCTTTTTTATCGTTTTTTAAATTTCAATGTCTTTATTGTTCAGATTATTACAATTGTTCCTCTTTCCCCCCCCCCCATAGCTCCCCTCCACCTTGTTCCCACCCCACCCTTTGCCTTTACCGTCCCCCTGCTGGTGTCATTCATAGGTGTATGATTTTTGTCCAGACTCTCCCACACCCCCTTTTTCCCAGGATTGTTAGTCCACTCCCTTTCTCTGCCCCTCATTCTATTGTATTCACCAGTTTATTCTGTTTATCACATTTTTTATTCACTTGATTTTTAGACACACTTGTTGATCGATATGTATTTGTTGTTCGTAATTTTTATCTTTAGCTTTTACTTCTTCCTCTTCATATAAAACTGATGTGGCGGTGATGAAGTCCTTTAGCTTTTTCTTACTATGAAGCTCTTTATCTGAACTTCAGTTCTTAATGATAGCTTTGCTGGGTGGAGTAATCTTGGTTGTAGGTTCTTACTATTCATCACTTTGACTATTTCTTGGCACTCCTTTCTGGCCTGTATAGTTTCTGTTGAGAAATCAGCTGACAATCCTATGGGTAGTTCCTTGTAGGTAACTAACTGCTTTTCTCTTGCTGCTTTGAATATTTCATTATGATGTGTATTGGTGTAGTCCTCTTTGGAATCCTCTTGTTTGAGGGTCTCTGCACTTTCTGGACTTGTAAGTCTATTTCATCAGGTATGGGAGATTTCTGTCATTATTTCTTCAAATACGTTTTTAATATCTTGCTCTCTCTCTTCTTCTGGCACCCCCATAATTTGGATGTTGGTATCCTTGAAGTTGTCCCAGCGGCTCCTTACACTATCTTCATATTTTTGGATTCTTTTTTCTTTATGCTTTTCTGGTTGGGTATTTTTTGCTTCTTTGTATTTCAAATCTTTAACTTGATTCTTGCATACCTCTACCTTCCTGCCTTCCACCTTCCAAAACTCATTGAAAAAAATCTTCCCGTGTGAGGATTTACAACCACATAAAGGAAACAATAGGTCTAACTTGTTTTCTATCCACATATTTTTCTCCTTATTGTGTTTAAAAGACACAAAGGGGATCATACACAATTTTATTAATGAGATTTATGGAATAACTAAACCATTAAAAAATATATATATATATATTTTATTGATATTTTACAGAGAGTAAGGGAGAGGGACAGAGAGCCAGAAACATCAATGAGAGAGAAACATCGATCAGCTTCCTCTTGCACACCCCCTACTGGGGATGTGCCCACAACCAAGGTACATGCCCCTGATCGGAATCGAACCTGGGACCCTTCAGTCTGCAGACCGATGCTCTATCCACTGAGCCAAACCAGTTCTGGCAACTAAACCATTTTGATTTCAGTTGTAAAATGTGTTGTCTATGTGCCTAAACTGTTAATGTTATGTCAGTTACTTTTTCTTTTCGTTTTTCCCCCCAATTACATGTTTATAAATTTCAGATAAGAAGGGAGAGGTAGAGAGAAATAGAAACATCAATGATGAGAGAGAATCATTGATTAGCTGCCTTCTGCACAACCCACACTGGGGATCGAGCCCATAACTTTGTTGTGTCTAGACTGGATATCAAACCAGTGACTTCTTGGTGCATGGGCCAGTGCTTAACCACTGGTCCACACCAACTGGACCAGGCAGGGCAATCTTGTTGTAAGATTATGCATAGTAAATTTTCAACTAGGATTGTGATTCTTGTGTCTTATTCTATGAGAATAAACTCCATGAAGAAACCCTTTTAGTTAAAAGTTCTCCATGAATTTTTTCCTTTTGTTTCATGTATTCAGAAGTATGGCACATGATATGCAGAAATATTGACATCACAAGAGAAAATTGAGCTTGTTACACATGTGGAAACACAGGCCTCATCTCAGAAACTGGATCAGAATCTGTGTCTTTACATGAGTTCCTTTCCTTGTGGTCCTCTTCACAGTTGCGAAGAAGTACCTATACTTCCAACCCATCATGTTTTTTACACAAATGACCCTGAATGATGCAAACAAAGCACTGAGAAATCCATATGTCTCGGTCCTGGCCTTAATTTTATTTCATTTTATTTATTTTCAGTATATTTTTAAGTATTTCAGGGATGAAGGGAGAGAGAGAAACATGAATGATGAGATAATCATTGCTTGCCTGCCTTCTGCACACTCCCTTCTTGGGATGGAGCCCTCAATCCAGGCATGTGGTCCTTAACTGGACTCGAACCTGTGACTCTTCGGTCACTCTATTTACTCAGTGCAGGTCTTAGTGAGCAGGCTAACACTCTATCAACTGAGCCATACTGGCTAGGGCCATGCCTTCATTTTAAAGTTTATTTTCCTCTAAAGTAAAATATGTATCATGGGTTTGTGGACATGTGTCATCTTCATTTGTCAGTTTTAGATTACACATCAGAGAATGTTAGTGGGACAAAATGATCTTATTGGGTGATTCAGGATATTCTCTTAGGTCCAAACCTCTTCTCCCTAAACACTGTTTTCATGTTGGGTGACATTGTGATCTCTTCTGGTGACCTCCTGGCAAATGTGTCTTTTCTTTCAGGGACCATTGACTTTCAGGGATGTGGCCATAGACTTCTCTCAGGAGGAGTGGGAGTGCCTGGACCCAGCTCAGCGGAACTTGTACCTGGAAGTGATGTTGGAGAACTACAGCAATCTGGCTTCTCTGGGTGAGGATGACTTCCTCCCTGAGTTTCTACTCCACCACCAGGGTTTCGTTTCCTTTATTATTTTACCACTATAAGCCTAGGGCACGGATTTATTGCAGTATAGGTCCCTAAGCCTGGCCTCCCCGCCTCCTGGGCTCCTCCTTCCTTTGCTCCCTCAGCATCTTGCTGCCTTTGGTGGTCACCTACCTCTTGCACACCTCCTAATGGGGATGTGCCCGCAACCAAGTACATGCACTTAACCGGAATCGAACCTGAGACCTTTCAATTTGCAGGCTGACGCTCTATCCACTGAGCCAAACCGGGTTTGGCTGTATATTATTCTTTATTTCATTCAGTGTATGCTTAATTTCTTGTTGGTCCTTTTTCATATCCTCAAGAGTCTCACTAAATTTATCGATGGTCGCTAGAAATTTTTTGAAAAACCTTATAACTGTGGTTTTGAACTCCGTATCCTTCATTTCTTTCGTTTGTGACCTGTTCGTCTCCACATTTTGGCTGCTTCCCGGAGTTAATAGAGTGGCTTTGTGTGCTAGGTGTCCTATAGGGCCGAGTGGTTCAGCTTCCCCAGTTACCTAAGGTGGACACTCTTGGTGCACCCCTTTGTGGGCTGTGTGCACAGTCTTATTGTAGTTAAATCTCTTTTTTTTTTTTTTTTTAAGATATGCACATTTTATTTTTAAAAAATATATTTTATTAATTTTTTACAGAGAGGAAGAGAGGGGGATAGAGATAATAATAATCTATTAAAAGAAAACTTATAGGAAAGTTTTTGTTGTTTACTTTGTCGTTCCTTTTGGTATGCATCCCTGGTGGGGGGTGTGCGGGAGGCAGCTGATCGATGATTCTCATCTCATAGAGATGTTTCCAGCTCTCTATTCCTCTCCCTTCTTCTCTGTAAAAAATCAGTAAAATATTTTTTTAAATGTATTTTTAAAAACACTTTCCTATAAGTTTTCTTTTAATAGATTATTAGTAGTTTTATTTTTCAAATCTTTTATCCATTTTGGTTTAATATTTGTACACGGTGTTGAATAACAGTCCAACTTCACTCATTCCTTTACACGTAGACATCTGAGTATCTCAACACTATTCGTATATGTGAGACTATCTTTTATGAGAAGTTGTAAGTAGGCTCTTTATTCTATAGTGCTTTTTTGTAGTTCTTGTTAATCCTCACATGAGAACACTTTTTCCATTGCTTTTCAGAGAGAATGGAAGGGAAGGAAGAAAGGGGAACAGAGAGGGAAACATCCATGTGAGAGATACACCTTGCCTGTCCCCCTGTTTCTCGCACTTCAACGCAGGTGGGGGTGGGAATTTGCAACCAGGTGTGTGCTTTTTAAGGGGATTTGAACCCGCAACCCTTAAGTAAGTGCACAGGATGATGCCCTAACCCTAAGGCACACTGACCAGGGCCTCCGTGCTCCTTTATTTACCTCTGTCTTAATGTTTAGATGATACTTTGGATAATATCAATTTTTAATATCTTTATTGATTTTTTACAGAGAGGAAGGGAGAGAGACAGAGAGCTAGAAACATTGATGAGAGAGAAACATCAACCAGCTGCCTTTTGCACACCCCCTACCGGGGATGTGCCCGCAGCCAACATACATGCCCCTGACCGGAATCGAACCTGGGACCCCTCAGTTCGCAGACTGACGCTCTACCACTGAGCCAAACCGGTTTCGGCTGGATAATATCAATTTTTAAATAGTTTTTTAAATCATAAAGCATGATGTCTTTAAACTTATACTGTCTCCTATGTTTATTTTAGTTCCCTGGTGTCTTTTGTCATTTCATATCAGTTTTAGGAAGAGGTTTGTTAATTTTGTGAAAAGGGACATGGATAATAACTGCTTTGAATGTTTGTGTCAACCTTGGCTACTTGTGACAGCTCAAACTGTTAGCATTCCAATTTAAGGTCATTGCATGTGTAGTTAATTTATTGAGTTCTTTAATTACACCCAGCACTACTTTATACTCTATTTTCATTTATTTATTTAAAAATATTTTATTGACTTTTAACAGAGAGGAAGGGAGAGGAATAGAGAGTTAAAAACGTCCATAAGAGAGAAACATCGATCAGCTACATCTTGGACAACCCCTACTGGGGATGTGCCTGCAACCAAGGTACATGCCCCTGACCGGAATCGAACCTGGAACCATTCAGTCCGCAGGCTGATGCTCTATTCACTGAGCCATACCGGTTAGGGCGACTTAAAATATCTTAAGGTTATAACGATGTATCTTAAACTCAGTGTCAATTTCATACAAAAGTCTGCTAATTGCCATTTCTGACCATGTACACACATAAGTTTATATCACTTTACTTTTTACTATGTCTTATAGCAGAGATTTTTTATTTAATTCCTTTTATTTATTTTTTATAAATACATTTATATTTCAGAGGAGATGGGGAGGGAGATAGAAACATTCCCAATGAAAGAGAATAATTGATTGGCCTCCTTTTGCACATGCCATACTGGAGAATGAGCCCACAACACAGGCATGTGCCCTGACCAGGAATTGAATTGTGACTACCTGGTTCATAGGTATACCCTTTACCACTGAGCTATGCTGTTCAGACTATTCCTTTTATTTTCTAAAGTTCCACAAGAGAAATCAAAGTGACATGTGTTTTTTTTTAGAACACCACAAATTTTTATATTCCTATATATTTTTTCACATAGAAGGAATCTTCATATGTTCATATTTATCGCCAGAAGTGTGTTTCTGAAGAATTATTTTTAGTGCAAGTCTAATAATGAGAGTTTTGGATATGGAAAATGTTTTACTCTCCATTGTTGATCATCTGTTTTATCAGTATTTTTGTTGGATGGTTTTTGTTCATTTAATAGTTCCCTGTTTTATTTCATGCTCTTTCCTTGCCCCCAATAGTATTCTACTTAGAAATCCCCTAATGACCTCAGAGTAACTATCTTTTCCATTACAAATTATATCTTTATACGCTTTTTAGATACTTATGATATTTTGAATATCATAAGTATTCTAGTATTTATGACATTTTCATTCTTTTTTATCTGTTCTCATGTTTATATTCATAATACTTAGAATTCAGTTAGCTGCTTGCGTTTGTATGTCTCTCCAATTGTCAGGATGTTACATGATTAATTTTTTATATGAGTTACCTACTCCTTTTCACATTCCTGTCTTTATTGGGTCCTCTTGGAGGTCAGTTTGTTAGTGTCTTAGGAAATCTTTAAATTCTCTTCATATTTCCACATTTGTTGGCTTTTCTTCAAGATTTTATTGAATTAACATTTTAATGATTTATGTACTAATTATTTCATCATTTAATTATTTTTTAAATATATTCTTATTGATTTCAGAGTTATAGGGAGTGGGAGAGAGAGATAGAAACATCAGTGAAGAGAATCATCAATCGGCTGCCTCCTGCATGATTGGTGATCAAGCCTTCACCCCAGGCCTGTGCCCTGACATGGAACCAAACCATGACCTCCTGGTTCATAGATAGACACTCAACTACTGAGCAAATTCCCGGCAAATACTTTGATGTTTTAAGTTGAAAGTGTCTTTCATTAATGATTCTACTGTATTGTTAATTCTGGTATTATGTTTTGCAATATACCCTTTCGGTGGTGTTTATAAAATACTTTCTCATTGTATTTTTATTTTGGTTATATAATGTTTTGGTGATATTATATAGTTGTATTTTTCTCCCCTTTTTGGCTTTAAGGTACTTATTTGCCCTTTTTTTTTAGATAATTAATATACTTCCATTAATATAGTGCCAGTCTGATTACATTTATTCTGTTTTCCTGATGGTACACTTTTTCTGTTTTTTTGGACTTCATATATGTTGTTGAGATTCTGGAATTGTAAACATGCGGGATTTTGAACATGCTTTCTATAGGAGGAAACAAATAATAACCATCTGTGGCACAAATTCCACTTTCAGTCAACACTGTTTTCAGGATCTGTATTCTTGGTTCGGTTGTGTGTTTAATTTCCCAGTTGGAAATGTTCTCTGTTTATTTCTCAGACCATGGTATCTTTTTGGGCTTGACCTAATACTTTATTCCCTCAGTATTTGTGGTGTTTGAATTAGTTCTCATTGTTTCTTTGTAGCAGCCACTACAGGGCACTCAACTGTACTGCAATTTTGTTCACACCCTGAGTCATGCACAAGAGATAAGTGTTCTTCAAGAGCCTTTAAAACAAGGAGATCATTGATCATAGACTTTCTTTATTTCTCATTTCTCTCTAGTGAACAAACTGGGGATGTCTTTATAATATTGCCATTGTGTGCCAGGGGGTTTAAGCAGGTATCATTGGAAAATATAAGCAGCTCTTTGATGTGAGTTTTCTTCATTGTACCTATCTTGAACTTTGTTTAAAATCATCACTTGCTCTTGGAATAATCAAAATGTCATTTGGTCAATACCTGCTGGTTACTTCAAATTGCACTCACCTGATTGTCAAAACTGAAAATTTGTTTTCTTTCAGCTATGTCATCTGAAGGTAACCGGGCCTTTATGCCAAAACCCCGAATGCAAGATTTATTCTCTGAAATAATACTGGTAAGGAATAAAAGATGTCGCTTTGATAATGCTCACTTAATGAAAGCCTTTGAATTTGAGGAAGAGTGTGATTAGAAGAGAGGAAATTAATATAAACAGAACAAATCTGGAACAGTTATCATAATAAAATTATTGTTAAAGAAGTCAGGTGTATTACACATTTGGGAAACCTCCCAATTTTAAGTCAGTTACATTGGCAGATCAGTATGTTTCTTCACTTGAAGATCAAAAATAACTTTTTATTGTTATGCATTCTTGGAAAGAGAATCTGGAAAAACTAAGAATTCACATAGTCTCTAGAATAAATAATTATTTGAATTGATTAAAATGTAGGGTCAGATTAAACTTTCAATCATTTCTAAAATGTATAGACTTATAATGTATCCATAAAATTAAAATGAGCTGAATTTGTCAATTTTTTTGATATTTTTTATTTTAAAAATATATTTATTGATTTCAGAAAGTAAGGGAGAGAAAGAGGAGAGGAAAACATCAATGATGAGAGAGAATCAGTGGCTGCCTTCTGCATGCCTCCCACTGGGGACTGATTCCATAGGCAAGCCATGTTCCCTTATTGGGAATGGAATCATGATCTTGTTGATATGATGAAGCTCAACCAGTGAGGCATGCTTGCTGGGCAGTTAGGCACTCTTTTAAACAAGGATTCATTATTCTTCCTCTGAAAATTAATGTTTTGCATTTATTTTTTTTGTCTATAATTTTAATAAATTGGAAAAGCTTTTCCTATACAACAATCTATGTTTAATGAGTATCACAGAATGGTTCTTATGGAACAAGTATACATTTTCATGAAATTATAACTGTCAGTAAAGGTCTTTCTATCTCCTATTATCAACAGAGTACATATAATGGATATAGCAGTTATCAATGGAATGAACATTGGAACAAATCTAAGCAAGAGTCATTTCTTAATCATTGGACAAGTGAACTTGCAGAGGACCATTATACAAGTGTAAAAGTCTTTGACCAAATGTCCAATTATAATATACATCAGGTTTTTCCTATTGTGGAGAAGACACAAAATGGAAGTAAATATATCCAGTCTTTTCAGCCATCTTCAAATTACCCCGAACAAGAAAAAATTCATGCTGGGGAGGAGGCTTACAAATGGAATCCGTGTGGGAGAGTCTTCAGTCAAATATTCAATCTAAATAGATGCAAAAAAGTCCATAGTGGAGAAAAACCTTGTACATGTAAAGATTCTAGTAAAACATCTATTTGGCCTTCAGGTTGTACACTAAACCAGATAATTGGTACTGGAGACAAGCCTTACAAATGTAAATCGTGTGGCAAAACTTTTAAATATCATTCATCTCTTGTTATACATAGGGGAAGATTTCATAGTATTGCAAAATTTTATAAACTCAGGGAAAATGGAAAAGACTTTAGTCAGTTCTCAAGACATACTCAAAACCATACAAATCATACAGAAGGAAATTCGTACAAATGTTCAGAGTGTGGCAAAACCTTTAGTCGACTCTCAAACCTTATTCTTCATCAGGGAATTCACACTGGAGAGAAAGCTTATAAATATAGAGAATGTGGCAAATCATTTAACAGCTATTTAGTTCTTATTAATCATCACAATGTTCACACTGAAGGTAAGTCTTATAAATGTAGAGAATGTGATAAAGCATTCCTCCACACCTCAAACCTGTTTCGACATCGGAAAGTTCATAATGGAGAGAAGCCTTATAAATGTACAAAATGTGTCAAAGCGTTCAGTGCGTCCACAAACCTTAATAGACATCACAGAGTTCATACTGGAGAGAAGCCTTATAAATGTAGTGTATGTGGCAAAGCTTTTAGTGATTCCTCCTCCTTTAATAAACATCACAGAGTTCATACTAGAGAGAAGCCTTATAAATATAGAGAATGTGGCAAAGCCTTTAGGCAGTCCGAATCCCTTAGTTATCAGAAAGTTTATATTGGAGAAAAGCCTTATAAATGTAGCGAATGTGACAAAGTCTTTAGCCAGTCCTTATCCCTTAATCGTCATCAGAGAGTTCACACTGGAGAGAACCCTTATCAATGTAGAGAATGTGGCAAAGCCTTTAGATGGTTGTACTCCCTTAATATACATCAGAGAGTTCATAGTGGAGAGAAGCCTTACCAATGTAGAGAATGTGGTAAAGCCTTCAGTGATTCCTCAAAACTTACTCGCCATCATAAAATTCATACTGGAGAGAAGCCTTATAAATGTAGAGAATGTGGCAAAGCCTTTATCCAGTCCTCACACCTTACTAGTCACCGGAGAGTTCATACTGGAGAGAAGCCTTATAAATGTACAGAATGTGGCAAAGCCTTTAGATGGTCTTCTCAATTTACTAAGCATAAGAAAGTTCATCCTGGAGAGAAGCCACATGAATGAAGTGAATGTGACACATCCACTGGCGGCTCCTCCTCATCAGAGAGGTCATACTAGAGAGGAGCCTTATAAATGTAGAGAATGTCATAAAGCCTTTCATCAGTGTTCCTGCCATATTGTACAGCAGAGTTCATACTTGAGAGAAGTATTACAGATATGAGGAGCCTCATAAGTCCTTGGCCAGCAGTGACAAGTTACTGAACACCACAGAATTCTGACTGCGAACAAGCCTTATGAATATGGAAAATGTAGTGAAGCCTTTCAAAGCCATTCATGAATTACTGTACACGAGAGACTTCACACTAAAGGAGATACCTTTCACATGTAGAGCACGTGCAAGGCCTGTACTATTGGAGCTACTCATTTTCTTCACTACCGCGTTTCCCCGAAAATAAGACCTACTTACAGGTTTCCTTCTGAGTGAAATATAAGGCATCCCCCCGAAAATAAGGCCCCTCTAGGTTAAACATGAGAGATTTGGTCCACTGATTCTGAAAGAAATGGAGTCACAAGAAACTCACCAGGAAATTCAGGAATTGGATTGTTATGATGATGTCCCAGAAGATGATATGATTGTCATTGAATAAATGATTAAATTCTTGATACGGTATGATTCACAGTTTGTCTGGTTTGTGTTGACAACTACCGTACTACTATACCGTGTACAGGTAATAAATTTCCTTTATTTTCATTTAACAATAAATGTGTACCGTATTCTTCTTCATGGAAAAATAAGACACCCCCTGAAAATAAGACCTAGCACATCTTTGGGAGCAAAAATTAATATAAGACACTGTCTTATTTTCAGGAAAATTGTATCAGTGAAGTGTAAACAAGGTGCGCAGAATGCTGGTGAACCTTGAGCCCTGGCAAGGGCCATAGCTATGCACAGATTGTTGAGACAATGGGATCTCAAGCTATTTCCTGACCAAATAATCTCAGAGTAAATTTTTACTAATATTTACTGACCTTTAAGATTGTCTGTTACTGGAATTGCCTGCCTGACCAAGGGCTATATATGTATCCAAAATTGAATAAAATGTTGGCAAGGCCTTGGCATCAGTGGAAGTCTTTCCCCTTGCATTGGACTTTCCGCCTGGCTCCCAATATTTCCAAATTATTATTTCTTGTCTCTGTCATTTGTGCACGGCCCTTTTCCAGATTGTGAACACTGAATCATGAGGGATGTTGTTCACACATCTGGCTCTCTATTGGGGAAATCTGGAGGAGAAGAATTGCCTACAGCGAAAAACGAAGTTTACCGGATAGGTGGCAAAAATTCACCAGATAGGTGGGGAAAAGAATTTATCCAAATGGTGGGGAAATTCATTGCATTTAAAGCCCATGGCCAGCTGTAGAGGTCGCAATCTGTAAGTAGGGTAGGAATGTGTTCTTTAAAGCTAGGCTAATGGGGGAGAATTTGGTGAAAATAAAAAGGTTTATTGTAAACTTTTGGCTTGCATGCTTAAGGATAAAGGAATTAATGTGTTAGAAGATATTCTCTCACAGTTTTTACAAGTTATTATAGAACATAATCCCTGGTTTCCTGAAGGAGGTACATCAGATGTTGAATGTTGGGAAAGAGTTGGTCAAAACCTGAAAAAAAAACTCATCAGCAGGAGAAAAATTTGCCTCCAAATTGTTTCTCCTTGTGAAAAATGGTATAGCATTTGCTAGAGTTTTTTAGAGAGGCTAAGGAAGATAAACCTCCTCACCTTGCACCCTCCGCTCCTAAAGAGGAGCAAAAAGAAAAATTGGAGAAATGGCCTTCATAGCCCCCTCCACCTCCATGTCCTAATCCTGAAATGTTTAATTTGCCACTAATAGAATAACTTGTGCCAAGAACTATCTGACATGGATTAAAGGGGAAAGTATGACTAACATTTCTGAAGCATATTTAGTTCCTTATGAGTGGTATTCTTTGGCTCATGCAACTCTGGATGGAGGAGATTATTTACTATGGAAGGGAGAATTTTTGGAGAAATGTCAGGAGCAAGCCCACACAAATCATGGGCTGAATGCTCGAATAACGTATGAAAGTGCACTAATCCATGCACCAGGACTCTAGTAATAATATAAGAACTAAATGTTGAGTTGCCCAACTTGAGTTGCTTAGTGAATGAGCATTGACCTATGAAACAGGAGGTCGGGTTAGATTCCTGGTCAGGGCACATGCCTGGGTTTTCCCTTCAGTTCTCGATAGGGGACATGCAGGAATTAATGGAACATTGATTCTTTCTCATCATTGATGTTTCTCTCTCACTCCCTAACTCTCTGAAATCAACAAAATATTCTAAAAATAAAAATAGTTCCCGAGGTTCAGATGTTCAGTAATGAAAGCCTAATGCATGTGACTTGGCCTTGGTAACTGGCTAGTGGATAGAGGCTGGAAGGAGACTATTAGTGGATGCTGCAGTGAAGGAACTAGGATGGAAGTCTGGAAGGAGGGGAAATTGTGGTGGTGGTGGTTTTGTTTTTTTTTTTTTTGAAAATCATGTTTTGATCTAGTAAAAAGTTGACGAACCATTTGCCAATAGCACATGAAGCAGAAAAACCACCTGAGCAACCCATAGAATAATAAGAAATATCGAGTATTGCTGCATTAAGAGAATCCCTTTTGGGTGGTTTTACATAACAGATAATGAAGTGGAGATGCTTTATGTCCCCTCCAAATGGATTAAAGCTTAACATCCAATATGTCTATATTTGGACATAAGGGGTTTACAGAGGTCATTAACTTTTCATGAGGTCATAAGATGGGGGCCTAATCTGATAGACATGGGGTCCTTATAAAAGAAGATAGAGAAGAAGAAAAAAGAATCACCTGTCTGTACATATTCTTGAAGTTTTATTTGGGTAATATAAAGAAAGAATACTTCAATTTTGCTACTTAGCTAAGTTAGAAGTGTTTATTTATTTTTTAAATATATTTTATTGATTTTGTACAGAGAGGAAGGGGGAGAGATAGAGAGCTAGAAACATCAATGAGAGAGAGTCATCGATCAGCTGCCTCTTGCACACCCCTACTGGGGATATGCCCGCAACCAAGGTACATGCCCTTGACCGGAATTGAACCCGGTCCCTTCAGTCCCCAAGCCAACGCTCTATCCATTGAGCCAAACCGGTTTCGGCCATAGATGACTTTTAACAATCATTTCTGGAGGTTACATTTGCCTCTCTGATTGTATCCTCTCCCACAGAGAAGTCTCCTGTTTGATGCCGGTGAGGCTTCATCAGGGTTTCTGTCAGGGCATTCTCCTCTGTTCCATTGGTGTATGTATCTCTGTCAATCCAGGATCAGTCGCGCCACCAGCCAAACCCCAACAATGACATGGACACTCCCCCAGGAAGGGCTGTCCCTGTGGGAGGAGGAGAGGGACCCAGGCCGCCCCCTGGCTCCGCCCCGCCCCCTCCCTCTGTCCCCGCACAGGCCTGGCCCCGCCCCCACTGCGGAGCCGCTCCGCCCAGGCCCCGCCCCCCGCAGCGAGGCGCATGCGCAGTCCTGGCAGCCGGAAGCGGCTGCGGAGGGGCCGGTGGCGGCTCCCTGAGGCGGTGTCTGTGCTTTAAAGCCGCTGCTCCCGGCCCCTCCCCGCAGGGCGGGCTGAGGGCGCTGCGGGCGCTGAAGTCCGTGTGGGAGCCCCGCCCGGAGCCCCTCCCGGCGGTGAGTGCGCGTCCGGCGGCTGCGCAGTGGAGGCGCCGCGTTCCTTTGGGGGAAACTGAGGCCCGGCCCGCGGTCTGTCCACCTCTGGCTGTGGGCCCGCCCGCCGCGTGGTTTTCCCGCGGAAAACCGTCCCCGGGCCGCCGGGGCCCCCGCGGGGCTGGAGGTCTGGTCAGTGGTTCCCGCCCTTTGCCCTCCCCCGCCCGGCGCTTCCGGCCCAAAGAGCCCGGATGGCCCGGCCTGGGGGTCTGCGCCCGCCTTCCCAGGCCCCCCATTAATCAGGTCTGAGTGCCAGGGGGCCAGTGCCAGGGGGTGGGCTCGGGGAGAGCGCGGTGTCCCCGGAAGAGGGACCTGCCCCAGGGAGGGCTTTGTGGGGGCGGTGACTGCGGGGCGGGGGCCGGGCTGGGGGGCAGGAGAGGGAGGGAGAGACAGACCCGGGGGAGGAGGAGGGCGGAGAGGGTTCCCCAGAGGATGGGGGAGCCGAAGGGGAGCAGCACGGAGGCAGCCAGCTGTGGGGGGCAGCACAGACTGTAACAGGCAGCAGCGGGGACACGGGCGCGGGGAGGGAAAGACGCAGACGTGTGTGGAGATGGGAGCAGAGAGACCAGGAGAGAGAGCCCCGGAAGGCCCTGACCAATTTGGCTCAGTGGATAGAGTGTGGACCTGCGACTGAAGGGTCCTGGGTTGGATTCCAGTCAAGGGCATTCACCTTTTTTTGCAGTTACATCCCCAGTAGGGGATTGCAAGAGGCAGCTGATCCATGTTTCTCTCTCATGGATATTTCTAACACCCTCTTTTTTCCTCTCTGTATAAAATCAATAAAATCTTTTATTATTTTTTTAAAAGAGCACCTGAAGGGAAATGGGTTACAAGATTTTAATGGTCCGTGTGTAGGGACAGAAATAGAGAAAAGGGGAGAAAGTGGGAGGGACAGTGAAATATAAGAAAGGACCACAGTGGAGAAAGGGAACAGTGAGACAGAAACAGATCCATAGACAGAAATACACTGTAGTGGGAAGGAGGGGAACCCTAATTTGAATGAGAGGTGAGCTCATGGAATGTGGATGATTAAGTTGGGATATATCAGTTTGTGTAGTGATATGTTTAATTTTAACAGTTAAATCGTGGAAACTGATTTGACTGAGAATTATAAATCTCCAGTTTATAAGGTTTGGCAAATGTATATTTATTTGCTTCCATTTGCAAACCTTATTCACACAGAGGGAGAGACTGGTATGTTCCTGATGGGCCCCTTGTCATTTCACGGGGTGGCAAGGAAGTGACCTGGGAAAAGAAATGACTAAGTCTGCCCCCACAAGATGCTTTATCAAGCAGTATTAGAAGGATCAATTTTTTTTCTCTCCCATGGATTTGCATTTTCTATCTCTGACATTTCCTTCATGAAAATAGTGGTTAAGCCGAAACCGGTTTGGCTCAATGGATAGAGTGTCAGCTTGGGGACTGAAAGGTCCCAGGTTCGATTCCGGTCAAGGGCATGTACCTTGGTTACGGGCATATCCCCAGTAGGGGGTGTGCAAAAGGCAGCTGATCGATGACTCTCTCTCATCGATGTTTCTAACTCTCTCTCTCTCTCTCCCTTCCTCTCTGTACAAAATCAATAAAATATATTAGAAAAAAGAAAAAGAAAATAGTGGTTAACCGCTGAAATAAGCATTGGTGACATCTCAGAAGCAACGCTTACCATTCTTTTGTTAATATAAGGTAATCTCCACGTTTTCACATTTTTAAACCTAGATATCATTACATTAAAAAGAAAATAACCACCCTAATTGTTTTTTGTGTTTTTGTTTGTTTGTTTGTTTGTTGGTTTCTTTGTTTTTCTTTTTGCACCATTCCAGAGGTGCTGCAATACCACCGCCTTGATGTGTGGCTAGAACTTGGCCTGCAGACTAAAGGGTCCCAGGTTCAATTCTGGTCAAGGGCATGTACTTTGGTTGTGGACACATCCCCAAATTAGCTTCTATAATAAAGATTCTCTTATATATCCACAACTTCTCATGGCTTCTCTTGCTGCTGTTTGGCGTTTAAGAAGGTCCAGCCCCTGGAAGAGAAGCTCAAACCCCACTGTTGTTATAGTTGAGCTGAGAGGAAAGAATGAACTTAGACTAAGTTCCCAACAGTTGGTGCAGTGAGCAGGGTTCAAGGTGGAACTTGCTCTCACAATTAGCATATGGGCAGGATTTAGGAGTAAACACTCCCAGAGAAATGGATCCTACTTTTTTTTTTTTTAATTTTTAATTTTATGGATTTTTTACAGAGAGGAGGGAGAGGGATAGAGAGTTAGAAACATCGATGAGAGAAAATCATCAATGAGCTGCCTCCTGCACATCCCCGCAACCAAGGTATACGCCCTTGACCGGAATTGAACCCAGGACCCCCCCAGTCTTCAGGCCAACGTTCTATCCACTGAGCGAAACTGGACTCGGCATGGATCCTACTCTTACACATGGGGTAGTGGAGCGGAATTCAGAAGAATATATGGACTCAGAGCAGCTGTACTGTGACACCATCACACTACCCACAGGTCTCAGGTGTGCTGGGACTGATGTCTGTTACCCAGCTCTACTGAAATCAGCTCTGGGGGAGCCTCGCAGGCCTCAGGAGTGAACTGGTTAAAGATGGCATAGCATGGGCCTCAGTGCAGGCTTTTTTGGGGGGAAATAAGGGGTGCTCTGTTGCTTTTGGTGTTTCCTGAAATGAGCATATGCACTCATTGCTGTAGGAGTGTGTGGAAGTGTTTGGAAGCACAGACACATAAAGACGGAATAAAACACCTCACATGTAGGAGCTCATTGTTCCTGGCTCCTGTGATAACAGGATGAGGTGGACTTTTCCTCATTTCCAGGTTCTTCTGACTTGAGCGTGAGGTGAGCTGATTAACAGGTGCTGCAGACGCCTTTGAAGGCACATTCTGTGACTCCTCAAGATATTGTCACCTGAGAAAACATCCCACGGCCAGAATCAGTAGCCGGGACCAGATGGCTCCTTCTCAGGTAAAATAAGTGTCCTGGGTCAGAGGCTGAATTTGCTTTTACATTAATATCTTCGGATTTATTTCTCTACCGTTGATGGTTTGCCTTGCTTGTTTATTTTTCTTTCCTATTATCTTGTGATAGTCAATGCCAGCAGTTGCTATATTTCCCTCTCTTATTCTTGTAGTATATTTTTGTTGATTGCAAAAAGGAAGAGAGAGTGAGAGATAATCGCATGAATGATGAGAGAGAATCATTGACTAAATTCTGCACGCCCCACACTGGCATCAATCCGGCAACCTGGGCATGTGTTCTGACCAGTGACCTCTTGGTTAATGGGTCAGTGCTCAAACACTGAGGCACACCCGCTGGACCAGGCAAATGATCTTGTTCTAAGATTACTCATAGTAAGTTTTCAAATAGGATTGTGGCTCCTTTATGTCCTAGTCCATGAGAACTGTAAATTCCATGAACAGAACCCTGAAGATCAAAGTTATATATTAATTTTTCCTGTGTTTTCATTTCATATTCAGACATATGGCACATGATCCGGTAACATTGGTATCACAAGGAAAAAGTGAGCTTGTAAGACAAGTTGAAACAGAGGCCCCATCTCAGAACGTGGATCAGCATCTGTATTTTCAGAAAGTGCAGTCGTTTTTTGTGTGTGTTACCCTTGAAGTGCTTATATTTCGGACTCATTTGACATTTCCCGCTGAGAAATATACACCACTGACCCTTAATGATGCAAACACAGCACTCAGAAATCCACATGCCTGTATCCATGCACTAATTTTAAACTTTAAACTTTTTTTCCCTGAAAAGTGAAATGAGTACCAAGGATTGTTGTACATGTATCATCCTCATTTGTCATTGTTCAAAAAGACATCAGAGAATGTTACTGGGGCAAAGTGATCTTATTGGGTGATTCAAGATGCACCCGTAGGTCCAAACCTCTTCTCCTAACACTGTTTTCATGTTGGGTGACATTATGGACTCCTCTAGTGACCTCTTGGTAAATGTGTCTTTTCTTTCAGGGACTGCTGACCTTCAGGGATGTGGCCATAGATTTTTCTCAGGAGGAATGGGAATGCCTGAACCCCGCTCAACGGAAATTGTTCCTGGATGTGATGTTGGAGAACTACAGCAACCTGTCTTTTGTGGGTGAGTATGACTTCTTTCTTGAATTCCTATGCAGGGGTTTTGTTCCTTTTATTATTTTAATCTGAGACCCAGTGCACGAATTTGTGCACCACTTGGGTCCTATGCTCATGAGGGATATTGGCTTATAATTCTCTTTCTTTGTGTTGTCTTTATCTACTTTTGGTATTAGGGTGATGCTGGCTTCATAGAAGGATCTTGAAAGTGTTCCTTCCTCTTGAATTTTTTGGAATAGTCTGAGGAAGAGAGGTTTTAGTTCTTCCTTGAATGTTTGGTAAAACTCCCCTGTGAAGTCATCTGGCCCCAGGCTTTTGTTTGCTGAAAGCTTTTTGATGACTGCTTCAATTTCTTCCATAATTATTGGTCTATTGAGATAATTAGATTCTTCCTGATTGAGTTTTGGAAGGTTATATTTTTCTAGGAATATATCCATTTCATCCAGGTTGTCCAATTTATTGGAGTAGAGTTGTTCAAGTATTTTTTTTAACAATCCTTTGTATTTTGGTGGGGTTTGTTGTTATTTCACCTCTTTTATTTTTGATTTTGTTTATTTGGGTCCTCTCTCTTTGCTTCTTTGTGAGCCTGGCTAGAGGTTCATCAATCTTGTTTATCCTTTCAGAGAATCAGGTTTTGTTGGCTTTGGTTTTGTTGATCTTTTGTATTGTTTTTTGTTGTTGTTTTTTTGTCTCAATGTCGTTTATCTCCACTCTGATCTTTATTATTTCCTTTTTGCTGCTTACACTGGGTTTTTCTTGTTGCTTTCTAACACTTTGAGTTGTAGGGTCAGGTTATTTATTTCCATTGTTTCTTGTCTTTTGCAGTAGGCTTCTAGAGTTATGAACTTCCCTCTCAAGACTGCTTTCGCTGTGTCCCATACATTTTGGATTGTTGTGTTTTCATTGTTATTTGTTTCCATGATGTTTTTTATTTCTTCCTGGTAATCCAGTCATTGTTTAATAGCATGCTGTTTAGTCTCCATATGTATGATTTTTTGGGGATTTTTTTAATTTTATTAAATTATTATCTGTGTACATATACCATTGCCCCCCCCATACATGCCTTCCCTCCCCAGAGTTTTATGTCCATTGGTTGTACTTATATGCATGTATACAAGTCCTTTGATTGATCTTTTATCTATCCCAGATCTCCCTACCCTCCCCGCTGTAATTTGACAGTCTGCTTGTTGCTTTACTGTCTCTATATCTATCTTTTGGTTCATCAGTTTATAATGTTCTTTATTATCCATAAATGAGTGAGGTCATGTGGTGTTTCTCTTTCATTGACTTGCTTATTTTACTCAGCATGTGAGATTGTTTTTATTGTAGTTGATTTCCAGTTTTATGCTACTGTGATCTGAGAAGATGCTTGATATGATTTCTATCTTCTTGAATTTGAAAAGACTTTGCCTATGACCCAACATATGGTGTATCTTTGAAAATGACCCATATGCACTTGAGAAGAATGTATATTCTGTGGCTTTGGGGTGAAATGTTCTAAAGATGTCAATTAATTCCATCTGATCTAATGAGTCATTTAGGATTGATGTTTCTTTGCTAATTTTTTTTTTTATTACATGATTTGCCAAGTGGTAATAGTGGGGTATTAAGGTCTCCTATTATGATTGTATTGCTGTCAATCTCTGCCTTCATACAGTCCAGGAGGTTTTTTTATGTTTTTGGGTGCTCCTGTATTGGGTGTGTATATTTTACCAGAGTTCTTTTTGTTGGATTGCTCCCTTTAGTATTATTAAGTGGCCTTTTTTACCTCTTGTTATGTCCTTCACTTTGAAATCTTACTTTGTCAGTTATGTGAGGGGAAAGGAGAAGCAATTGTGATAATCTGAACAATAAAAATTTATTATATTTACAAAAAAGAAAAAAGAATAAAACAATCTCTCAAACAAGCATAAAAAATCGATATAATTGACATTCAAGCAAACAACAAAAAAAGGACAGAGAGAGAATCAATTTTTAAATAGTGAAGACAGAGAAGAGAGGTGTGTATGGACTTGGCAGGGGATTGGAAATTAGATATATATGTAGGGTGAAATGTTAACGGGTAAAAAAAAAGAATAAGTAAAATCTAAAGCAGAAAAAGGGTAAGAGAAACAGGACAAAAAAAGGCTAAAAGTTAAGAAGAGAGTAATGATATAAAGGTAGATTGAAATAGAGTAGAATGATATTAAAAGAAAGATGAAAATAGAATGTATAGCACTAATCTCAAAGTAAAATAAAATGACATTTTTAAAAAATGGTAAAAATTAAAATTACTTTTTTATTATATTTTTATTTTTTTAATAAGTATTATAACTGAGTAAAACTAAAAATTACATTGAATAAGTAATAATACTTATTAAAAGTAAAAATGTTTTGCCGAAGCCGGTTTGGCTCCGTGGATAGAGTGTCGGTCTGTGGACTGAAGGTCCCAGGTTCGATTCTGGTCAAGGGCATGTACATTGGTTGCGGGCACATCACTGGTAAGGGGTGTGCAGGAGGCAGCTGGTCGATGTTTCTCTCTCATCGACATTTCTAGCTCTCTATCCCTCTCCCTTCCTCTCTGGAAAATCAATAAAATATATTTTTTTTAAAAAGTAAAAATGTTTTAAAAAGGTAAAATCAAGCGAGGAAGAAAGAAAAAAATAGTTTCTTAAGTAAAAATGAAAAAATAAAATATAAAAAGTACAAGTAGTGAAAGTCATTCACCTCCTCTATTCTATTTGGCACGCCTGTTTCCCAGTTAGACAGTATTGCATTTCCCTGCATTCCCTGCTCCTATCTTGAGCTTTCTTTGAATTCTTCACTTTCATTTGAAGTACTCAAAAATGTCATTTGGTCTATACTTGCTGGTAATTTCAAAGTGCACTGATCAGATTGTCAAAACTAAAAATTTGTTTTCTTTCAGCTATATCATGTGAAGATGACAAGACCTTTTTTCTAAAACCTGGAATTCAAGATTTATTTTCTGAAATGATTCTGGTAAGGTATAAAAGGTGTGGTTTTAACAATATACAATTAATGAAAGCCTAGGAATTTAACAAAGAATGTGAAGAGAAGAGAAGATGTTAATAGAAAATTAACTAACCGGGAACAATCATTCATAATACAATTCTTGTTATCTATAGCAGTCAAGTGTATTATGCATTGGGAAACCTCCCACATTAAACTCAGTGATATTGGCAGATAAGTCTGTTTCTGCACAGGATGGTTGAAAACTTTTTGCTGTGATATGACCTTGAAAAGAAAATCTGGAAAACTAGGAGCTAATTCAGTCTGTGATGTGTATAGTGATTAGAATTGTTTAAAATGTAGGGTGGGATTAAACTTGCAATTATTTTTAAATTTAGATATTCATAATGTTCTTATAAGATTAAAGTCTTAATTTACCAATCTTATTACTTTTAAAAAATATATCTATATCTATATAATTTTTATTTTTATTATTTTTATTTTATTTTATTTTTTTAAAATATATTTTATTGATTTTGTACAGAGAGGAAGGGAGAGAGATAGAGAGTTAGAAACATTGATGAGAGAGAGTCATCGATCAGCTGCCTCTTGCACACCCCCTACTAGGGATATGCCCGCAACCAAGGTACATGCCCTTGACCAGAATCGAACCTGGGTCCCTTCAGTCCCCAAGCCGACGCTCTATCCATTGAGCCAAACCGGTTTCGGCTATAATTTTTATTTTTATTGATTTCAGAGAGAAAGGGGGAGGGAGTGAGAGAAACATCCATTATGAAAGATAGCCATAGCTGGTTTAGTTCAGCCTGTGAATTGAAAGGTCTCAAGATCAATTCAAGTCCAAGGCATATGCCTGGGTCACAGGCACAATCCCCAGTAGGGGAAGTGCAGGAGGCAGCTGATCAATGCTTCTCTTTCCTCATTGTCTCCCTTCTGCTCTGAAAAAAAAAAAAAAAAAATATATATATATATATATATATATATATATATATTTTTTTTTTTTTTTTTTAAGAAATGAGAGAAAATCATTGATTGGCTGCCTCCTGCATGGCTCTTTTTGGACCTAGCCTGAAACCTGGGAATGTGCCCTAATGGGGAATCGAACCATGATCTCCTTTTTCATATGTCAATGCTCAACCCCCGAACACTGCCGGCTGGGCAGTTTGGCAATGTTTTAAACAAGGATTCATTATTCTTCCTCAAACAGTTTTTTTTTATGTTTTGTCTAATTTTGTGGTTTTTTTTGTTGTTGTTTTTTTAAATATTTTTTATTGATTTTTTTACAGAGAGAAAGAGGGAGGGATAGAGAGTTAGAAACATCGATGAGAGAGAATCATTGATCAGCTGCCTCTTGCACACCCCCTACTGGGGATGTGCCCGCAACCAAGGTACATGCCCTTTCCTGGAATCGAACCCGGGACCTTTCAGTCCGCAGGCAGCCAACGCTCTATCCACTGAGCCAAACCGGTCCCGGCTTGTCTATAATTTTAATAAATACTGAAATCTTTTTTAAACAACTTTTTTTGTGGTTCTTATTCAGAAGTGTACATGTTTCTTAAATATATAACTGTCACTAAAGACCTTTCTATATCCCATTACCAGCAGAGTAAATATAACGAAGACACAAATTATCAATGGAACGCACATTGGAAAAACTTTCAAAAAGAGTCATATCTTAATAAACAATGGAGAATTGAGCTTGCTGAGGACCATTATAAAAGTGGAAAAGTCTTGAAACAAATGTCCAATCACCATGTAGGTCAGTTATATCCTATTGTGGAAAAGACACATGAAGGAAGTAGACGTGTCAAATCTTTTCAGAAATCTTCAAATTACACTGAACAAGAGAATATTAATGCTGGAGAGCAAACTTACACAGCTAATGTATGTGGTAAAATCGTCAGTCAAACAATCAATCTAAATAGACTAAAAGAAATCCATAGTGGAGAAAAACATTATAATAGTAAAAATTCTAGGAAAACATCCAATTGTCCTTCAGGTTGTTTTCTAAATGAAAGAATTCTGAACGGAGACAAGCCTTACAAATGTAAAGCATGTGGCAAAGCCTTTAAATCTCATTTAACTCTCACTGTACATGAGAGAAGACTTCACACTAGGGAGAAACTTGACAAACTTACGGGAAATGGAAAAGGCTTTAGTCAGCCCTCAAAACATACTCAACATCATAGAAATCATACGGAACAAAAGCCTTATAAATGTTCAGAATGTGGCAAAGCCTTTAGCCAACCCTCCAAACTTATTGTTCATCAGAGAATTCACACTGGAGAGAAACCTTACAAATGTAGAGAATGTGGCAAAGCCTTTATTAGGTCCTCAAACCTTGGATATCATCAAAGAGTTCACACTGGAGAGAAGCCTTATAAATGTATAGAATGTGACAAAGCCTTTATCCAGTCCTCAGACCTTAGGATTCATCAGAGAATTCATACTGGAGAGAAACCGCATAAATGTAGAGAATGTGGAAAAAGCTTTAGCAGCTCCTCAAAACTAATTATACATCAGAGAATTCACACTGGAGAGAAGCCTTATACATGTAGAGAATGTGGCAAAGCCTTTATTAGTCATACATGTCTCATTAAACATAACCGTATTCATACTGGAGAAAAACCATACAAATGTGGAGAATGTGGCAAAGCTTTCAGCCATTCCTCATCCTTTACTTATCATCAGAGAGTTCATATTGGACAGAAGCCTTATAAATGTAGAGAATGTGGCAAAGCCTTTAACTATTCCTCATCGCTTACTAATCATCAGAGAGTTCATACTGGAGAGAAGCCTTATAAATGTAGAGAATGTGGCAAAGCTTTCAGCCACTCCCCATCCCTTATTAATCATCAAAGAGTTCACACTGGAGAGAAGCCTTATAAATGTAGAGAATGTGGCAAAGCTTTCAGTCATTCTTTATCCTTTGCTAATCATCAGAGAGTTCATATTATACAGAAGCCTTATAAATGTACAGAATGTGGCAAATCCTTTAATTATTCCTCATCTCTTACTAATCATCAGAGAGTTCATACTGGAGAGAAGCCTTATAAATGTAGAGAATGTGGCAAAGCTTTTAACTATTCTACATCCCTTACTAATCATCAGAGAGTTCATACTGGAGAGAAGCCTTATAAATGTAGAGAATGTGGCAAAGCTTTTAACTATTCCTCATCTCTTACTAATCATCAGAGAGTTCATACTGGAGAGAAGCCTTATAAATGTAGAGAATGTGGCAAAGCCTTTAGCCAGTCCTCAAGCCTTGGATATCATCAGAGAGTTCACACTGGACAGAAACCTTATACCAGGTAATTGTAGAAAATGTCGGAAATCCTTTGGCAGCTCCTCACGCCTTACAAATCATCAGAGAGATCATTCTGAAGAGAAAACTTACAAATTTAGGAAATATAAGTGTCTTTCACCAGTGTTCCCGCCTAACTGCACAGCAGAGTTCATACTTGAGAGAAGATTTACAGAGGGGAGTGTCGTAAGTCGTTTAATAGCTGTGAGAACTTGCTTAACATCACAGAATTCTGAATGGGAAGAAGCCTTAAGAATGTGAAAAATGTAGAAAGCCTTTAAAATCTATTTATGTCTTACTGTACCTGAGAAAATTCATACTAAAGAGATTCCTTAAAAATGTAGAGTATGTGAAAGATTCTGTAACCACAGCTCAAAATTTACAAAATAAGAGAGATTTCTTTAGTGGAGGGAAGTCTTACAAGTTTACTATGAGATGAACTATTAGTGAAAAATTAGTTAATGCTTCAGGAACAGTTTCCTGCCTAAACAACACAGTTTTTATTAATATACATTAATTTTTAATTAATGTATTATATGTATACATATCTTCCCATATAATTTATTTTAATTAGCCAGTTTACCTCAATCTGACATAAGATTTCTCTCTTGACTTGTCCTAGGTTATGGACAGTAAATGACAATTAAATTTCTTTTAGTCATTTAGTACCTTTATATAAGCTTTGTTTAGGGAGGCAAAAATACAAATTATTTTTCAAAGCTGAATACTTTTTCCCAGACATTTGAAGGAAATCTTTATTTCCCTGTAGAATAATTTCCAGGCTAACTTTTAGAGAGTTTCTCTGTTCCTTTTATTTTATTTTGTTTTATTTATTTATTTTTAAAATATATTTTATTAATTTTGTACCAAGAGGAAAGGAGAGAGATAGTTAGAAACATCGATGAGAGAGAGTCATCGATCAGCTGCCTCCTGCACACCTCCTACTGGGGATGTGCCCAAAACCAAGGTACATGCCCTTGACCGGAATCGTACCTGGGACCTTCCAGTACGCAGGCTGACATTCTATCCACTGAGCCAAACCGGTTCTGGCTTTGGCTGTCTAAATTTTAAATGATGGATTGTGAAATAAAAACATGGCAAAATGTTGCCGAGACCGGTTCCCACTGTTACAGCCATAAAATTTGCTTGAAGAATGCCTGACCCCACATTCTGACATGCTCAAATCATCTTCAAAGATTCTCCCTTCCATAGTAAATGATCTCCATCCAGAGTTTCAACAGCCAGAGAATACCAATCATAAGGAGCTAAGAAATAGTATTCATAATTTCTCCTGTAATCTTTCTCTTATAGCTGTTTGCACAGGTGACTCTATTAACGGTGAATTAGATATTTCAGTATTAGGACATGGAGGTGGAATGGGGCCATGAAGTCCATTCCTCCAATTTTTCTATTTCTCTCCCAACCCCCTGGGGCGGAGGGTGCAAGTCTTTCTAAAAGGCTCTAGCAAATGAAATACAGCACCTCATAATGAGAAATAGTTTGAAGGCAAGTTTTTTTCCCTGTCACTGAGGTTTTTCAAATTTTAACCAAGTTTTTGCCAAACATTCAAGATCTAATGTACCTTCTTCAGGAATCCAAGGCTTATGTTCTATAACATCAAGCAAAAACTTCAAGAGACTCCCTTCTGAAACTTTTAATTCCTTAAGCATGCAAACCAAAAGTCTATAATAAAGTATATAATCGAATTCTGCCCTTATCCTGGTTAAAGAAAGGTTCCCAACCCTACTTATATGTTGTGACTTCTGAAGCTGAGTGTAGGCTTTGCATGCAGTGAAATTTACCACCTGTACAGTGTCCCTCCCCCCCTCCTTGCTGACTAGTGAACTCTTCCCCCCCCCCCCCACCTTGCTGATGAAAGTTTGTTTTTTCGCTCTAGGCGAAGTCTTCTCCAGGGGTCTGCTGAGGCACCAAATGTGAATGATTCCCCCATGTCCCACGTGGCTCAAGGTTCAGCCTCTGGAAGAGGGGCCACATGCAAATAAAGAGACAAGACAAGAAATAATTTGGAAATATTTAGGGACCATGTGGGAGCCCAGCTCAAGAGGTAGGACTCTAGGCCTGCCATCCCTTTACTCATTTTTGTGATATACCTATAGCCCTTAGGCAGGCAATTTCCAGTAACAGGCAGATTACCTTCTCCGTAAGGATTTACATGACTGGTAGGGAAGTTGCTTCAGCTACCATAGTCTCAACTAATCAGTGGGTTCATAACTCTGACCTTTGACAGAGTTCAAGAGTCACCAGCCTTCTGGGTTCCTTGTCCACACCTTTCTGCTTGTGAAGACAACGGGGAGCTTCCCGCAGTATGTCAAAGGATTTATCTTCATAAAATAAAATAAAAATTAAAAACCCAAAGGATTTATCTTCATTTATATGTCATACACCATCTGACAATTAGTGGATAGAAGCCCAACAGATATAAATAATGTGACAAAGCTTACTCAGTATGCAACCTGACCCAACATCAGCATTCATACTGGAGAGAAACAAATGTAAACAATTTCCTAAAATCTTTAATCAGCATCCGTAGCTTATTCCTCACATTGGCATTCATTCTAGCAGGAAACCTTAAAACAGAAGAATATGGGAAATCCTATAATTGGACCTAGAATCTCAGTCAATAGTAGGGATTGTATTTGGATAGAAATTCTACATTCAAGATATAGGAGAGAGGACTTTTGAACAAAATATACAGTTTACAAAAGTCCAAGGAATATATTCCTTAAAGTGACTTTAAAATGTAAAAACTTGACCCAAGTATGTAATTGATTATGAATTTAAAGTTTTAATTGATTAATAATTCACACCAGAGAGGTACCCAAAATGCCTTTCAGGTATTGCTCCAAATCAGAAGGTTTATTACACAGCGTACTCCCAACTTTAAATATAGTTAGGTAATATTTGTATATTTAAATAAATCAAAAGAATTGATGTTTCCATAGGTACAATTATTTAAAGTGCTACCTATTTGAAATTGAAATCATTACAGGTATTTGGAAAAAGAAATATTAATGTAATTTTGTTCCGATATCACTTGATATTGCTATATTTTATTCCTGGTGTATGAGTGAAATCATGGGCTTAATTGTTTCTGGCTTAGAGATCTGTGAGCTGTTGTATGGACTTCACTTATGCACATTTTTCATGGAATATTGGATACATTGTAAGGTGCACATTTTTTTCCATTAGAGATTTACACTATTGAATGAATCTTTTAAAATAGTTCTTGAGTCTTATAAATGATTACATCAAAATTACTTCCTTTTCTGTGCCAGTGTTTTTGGATGAAAATTTTAGGAGGGCATTCAATTTGTGGTTTTGATGTTTAGATGAATGGAAGTACACTCAGGACAGTGCTGTCTGTATAATAGCTTTTCCATAATTAAGAGGAATATTGTAATACCAGTGTCGTTGTTGTATCCAAGATGCAGAATTGGCATGAACTCTGCATGTGGAAAGAGGAAAACTTTCTGAGATTGCACTGCTGGCTGAACTCAGAAAAATTATATTTCTTTCATTTCCCATTTTCTGTTCCTCTCTGGTTTTTCACTCTACCTTCTAGGCTGCCATTTTTAAAAAGTCTATTTTATCGATTTTTTATAGAGAAGAAGGGAGAGGGATAGAGAGTTAGAAATATCAATCAGCTGCCTCCTGCACACTCCCTACTGGGGATGTGCCCACAATCAAAGTACATGTCTTTGACAGGAATCGAACTTGAGACCTTTCAGTCCACAAGCCGATACACTGAGCCAAACCAGTCAGGGCACTGCCATTCTTTTTGCAGTGCTATGTCCACAGCATAGAAAACTCTTCATCAAGCCCGTGTAGCTTCTGCTCATTTTTTTGGTATGCACTTATGAATGACTGACATCAGAATTTGGTGATTAGGAGAGAGAAACCAAGATGTTGGCACAGGCAAACACCTAAACTGCTACCTTTCACAACAATTTCAAAACTACAACTGAAAGACAGAACAGACATCATCCAGAACCACAGGCAAGCTGGCTGACTGGAAATTCTACAACTAGAAGGAAAGTAAAAGCACAAGGAGAATTTGAGGAGCTGCAAAAGCCTGAGGTATGGATACAGTAGCACATGAAGCAGTAGAACCACCTGGCCAAACCATAGACTCATAAGTAATATGGAAATATAGTTAAATTAAGAGAATCCATTTTGGGGTGGTTTTATACAACAGCGAATGCACTTGTAGCACTCTTATTGACTAAATAGTGTCCCCCGAAAATGGATATTTTGACAGCCTAACACCCACGATGTCTATTTGGTGATAGGGGGTTTAGTGAGGTCATTAAGGTTATAAGAGGTCAAAAGAGAGTGGGGTCCTATTCTGATAGAAGTTGGGTCATATAAAAGGAGGAGATAGATTAACCTTTCTGTACATATTCTTGAAATTTTACTTAGATAATATTATCAAGAAAGGAGAGTTCAATGTTTTTTTCTAAGGCAAATCAACAATGTTTATTTTTGATATG